ACACACACACACACACACACACAAACACACACCACTCCACAAGCATTTGAGTGCTTCTTATCTGCTTTAAATACCAGGGGAGGGTAGCTCATTCTGACCTATCTCACTGCAAGGCTTTCCATGGGGTTTGGACACTTATTCTAATCTGGGACACTGAGTCCATCCATCAGCCAAACCAACCTCTTCAGAAACTGTAAATAAACTCCTGCAACAGCAGGAATGAGGGGAAAGAGAAAGAGAGAAACATTCACGGTTTAGCGGCTGTTTTTTCATATTCCTCACATTCCTTTCATAATGAACCTGAAGGTAATGAGTCAATTGCACACTGTGTGACTAAAAACATTTTCTACAGAAGAAAAAACAACTCTTGATACAACTTCTCCCTCTGCCAGAGGCCATGCAGGAAGTCGACAAACCTGCTGCAGAAGAGGAGGAGGAGGCGGAGGAGGAGGCTGCTGAAGAACAAGGTGAGGGGTTTGGAAATGGAAAACACTGCCAGGTCGTGTTTTTTAAAGCAGACATCCAGTCAGTGGCCTTATTGTGTCAGTGTTTACTCAGTGAGACAGTTTTCAAGTGATGTGGGTTCGCAGACAGCAGAGTGACAATGATTAATTTTACCCATCAGATGAGAATCTGCTCACTCAGTCACACATCACTTTGGTATGTGACAGTCTGCAGCAACTTGATAATCTCTGACATGTTTTCTTCATCTCTCCGAGTCTGTCTGAGTCATACCAGACATAGCCACTGGGTCAGAGTGATCCTCTTATTGCTCCTCAACACTCGTACACATAAGTTAGAATCTGCTGTCACAATAAATCCGCCACGTTTAGACATTAAGTTACCTTGACACTTTGCGGACACATTTGGGTCGTCAGGTAATGAATCAAACAGAATTTGCGCAGTGTCTGCTCAGGCCACACAGCCGCTAGCCATCTAGTCGAGTACAAAGCCTGCAGCTATTGTCAAATTTGGACTAATGCTTTTGTTGTTTGTTGACTGTCATTCAGAGGTCACAGATGCCACACCCAGACATGCTTCTCTAGACAGCCTCTCTTATGTCTCTGGAGTGCTATTTATGATATGTGACTGTCTACTCATGCACTCTGATACATAATTTTCTCTGCGCCAAAAGACTCACAAACACTTCTCTTGTTTTGGTTTCAGATGAGGACGGGGAAGCAGAAGACGGAGAAGGTAACTATGTTGTTTTAAACTGTACCAAAATGAATGGTGGTATTTACTTCAGGTTTGCAACAAACATTCACTAGGACGAAAGGATCACATGGGTACAAAGTCCAAAGTCACTGTGACCTCACATAATTGGGACTTCCCTTAATTCATAAATTTGTTTGTGATTACATTTCATACAAAACTCAAAATGCTCAGTAAAAACACTTCTCTGACCATTATTTAACGCCATAACTCAGGAACTGAAACTTGGAAGTAACCTGGAGGATTATGAGCAGATCAACTTCCAACTAAATTACATTTCTGGCTGTTAGGCCCGTGCACTGAGTGGTGTGTGTGTGTGTGTGTG